ACCACCTTTTCATGACCAATTTCATTTATAACCTCCTTCATGAAGTTAGCAATAAAAATATTTATCTTTTGTTTCATCGGAACAATCAACCTCTTTTAAAAATATTGGTCCACTCTTCGTCACCGCCATAAAATTAATTAGTGGCCTTCTTTGTGGATCACTCCATCCATTACAATGGTAACTCCTTTTTCCGTTCATGTGCCCTTGATTGGATTTAATAACCTTTCCACATATTTTCTCTCCTTTTGGAGAAGAGTAGTTCTCAACTTGTTATAATCGGGAGGCAAATACCCAAAAATTCTACTATTGGAAGCAAGAGTATAAGAACTAATGTAATAATGATTTCTTGCAAAAGTAAAGGGCAAACCACTCGAATAAAACATTCTAGCAATTTCGGAATCCAATTGGTCGCGTGTTGTCACATTAAAAGCATTTTCTATTGCACTATTCTTTCTTTTCTTTACCTCCAAAACATAACAATCCTTTGAACCCATATTATACGATGGCAATGACACTCTTTTCCCCGCCTTAGTTTGCATTCTCAACTTGGCTTCATCTTCCATTTTTTGCATTTCACATATATCTGTTATAGTTACTTTTCCACAAGCCCCAATTCCATAGCTTTGTAATTTTAACAAATGTGCCTTCACTCGTGTATCAACTTGTCTTAGTTGCATTACAAAAATTGCATTGCCAAATAATGTTACCACCCTTTTGATTAAATTATCAAGTTTTGTAACATATTTCCAAAGAGGCTTAGACAAATCATCATCCATAACATTATCACTCATAATTTCAAAAACTTAAATAAGATAGGAGTGATATTACCCGAAACTTGGAAAAATTTCTTCTTCTTGATCTTGCAAATGATTCTTCAAATGAGGATTGATGAAACTTTAAATTTTTTTAATTAATTAATTAATTTATTATTATTATTTTTTTGAAGTTTTCTTGCAATTTTCGTAACAGTGACCATTGGCCAAGGAGAAAATGCCTTATTATATAGATATGAATTATGTTGAGGGGTAAAATGGTACAATTTCATTCAATCAAAATATTATATATTATTTAAACTAAAGTTGCAGACATTTAAAGATACAAAAAGATACGAAATGGTACAAGATTTTACAATGGTGGGCCCTAAAATTAAATTATTCATTTGTATAGGAGATTTTCATCATTTATAGCCGTCCCTTTTTCTTCTTTATCTTTATCTTTTCTGATTTCTTTCCTGTTCAAGCTTCTTCTCTAATTTCTTTCATGTTCCAGCTTCTTCTCTGATTTCTTTCTTGTTCCAGCCGTTGTCTTCTCTGATTTCTTCAGTTCTACAAGTTCCATTTTTAGGCAAAGTCTCTTCTTCTTCTCTATTCTCTCTTTTTTCTTTCATCTTTTTTATTCTTCCTTCCGAGACAGCAAACTGAACTCCGGTTGTATTTCTTCCTTTAGCTCCGGTTGCATTTCTTCCCTTCAACTCAACTGCCCAGCAGCCGTTCGACACGTTGCAAGCAACTCCGACACGTGTCGGCCACGTGTCGGAGAAGTGTTGGTGTCCGATACGTGTCGGACACCGATACGCTGTCGCCGGCAGCGTGTCGGTGCTATGTAGGAAAAACATATAACCAATATTTAGTCAAATAAATACAATTCATTAAGCCCTTGTTTGAGCCACATTATTAGAATGAAAATGTATTTTTGAATAGTGTATTGATGGGAAATGTGTGGTTAAGAAATAAGGAAAAATTTTGGATTTGCGTGTAATATTATTTTATTGAAAAATGTGATCGAAATGATTTCAAATCACTGTTAAAGAATGTATTTTTTGAAAAAATGTGGCTTAAACAGGCCTTAAATATAAATTAAATTTGATATAATTAGATCAGACACATTCTATTCTATGTACACAAATATGATAGGAGAAAATGCAAATTTAAATCCTAATTAATTGAAAATTTGATTGAAAAGTGAAAATTTGTAGTAGATGTGATAATTTGTAAAAAAATTATAAACAAATTTTAAAGAATTATAAAGGTTAGGATTTTGGTAAAATGTGCGAGGGATAGAGTAAGAGAAATTTACTTATTTTTCAAAAAAAAAAAAAAAAAATAGAATAAGAGAAAAGAAAAAAATTCAAATTTATTGTAATTTTGCTCTTGTTTGGTAGGGTTAAAATCAAATTTTTAGTAAATTCTAATAAAAATTTAAAAGTTACGGATTCCATGAAATATGTTATTAAAATTTATTATTAATTTTAATTTAGATTAAAATTTTAAATAGATACTACACATGAATTTTCCCAATAAAAATAAAAATAAATAAATAAAAAAATAAATCAATCCAAAGTTGGGGGGTCACGTGTCCCCCAAGGACTCTCCTTGGTTTAGCCCCTATTTGGAAGCATACTCATAATTGTTGGCTATAGTAGGCTTATCTCGGGTGCACTGGAAACTTGATTGGCAATATTTTGCTTTATAGTGATGTTTTAGAAAGCTAGTAGTTAGAGCATCTCCAAAAATCTCTTTAAATGTAAAATGCTTTCTATTTTAAAGGGTCAATTCTAAAATTTATGCTCCAAGACATTTTTCAATGTAACATCTTGAAATAGAGCGTGTTTGACTTTTCAAATTTGGAGTCAAATCCACTCTATAATAAAATGTATTAAAAAATATTTCAATTCTCAATGCTCCATATGTTTACCTAATTAAATAGTATACATAGAAAATGGAGGAAAATAATACGATAATTTTGAGGGAAGCTTGTGAAAATAAAAAATAGGGAAAAATAATAATTACATATTAGGAGTAGTAAAATTAAGTGTTAATGATAAATAGGTTGTTGGAGTAGTTAAAAATTTTTACTCTCTAAATTTATAAATTCTTTTTAAATTACGAAATAAAGTCTTTACAAACATAGAGCCTCTTGAAGATGTTATTTAGATGAGGGTCTTGACTTTTACTAGTGTTTAGGAATATTTGTTCCATTCATTACATTACTAGTCCACGAGAACAAGCGTTGCTTTGGTTAATGACTATGATTTGATTTTATATAGGCTTGAGTGCTAATTGTTACCCTTTGTTTTGCTTACTGTGTAGTACTTGGGGGGTGGGGGAAGAAAATATTCTTTTTGTTTAGTTAAATGTTAGGGTGTACTCCTCCTTTTAGTCAAATCATTGTTTCATATGCCTATGACCTGACATTTTAAAGAATTTTCGGTGGAATCTTTCATGGGAACCCAATGTGAAAATTGGTCGGGGATCAAGATCTCATTTATGTAGAAGATAACAACTTTTTTGGTGTTATTTTCCCTGATTAAAATTAATATACATTCATTAACCTTATTAGTTTGCCAAATCTAGGTTCAAGCTCAACTTTAATTGATTAGAGCCAATTTGAGTTTCAGAGAATTGAGCTAAATGGAGATTGGATCTTGCCAAGCCCAAATGGATCACTACCCTTGTTGCCTGCACACATCCCATGCTAAACCCCCCCCCCCCCCTCCAAAAAAAAATAAAAATAAAACCATAGATGAAACATATTGTACCCATTCAAAACGCATTGCAATACAGTAATTTTGATTCACCATTTCCATTATTGATTTTCTATTGGTTGAGCTATATGCTTGTGGTTGAACTTCAATTCTAATGCGAAACATACCTTATTCATGGCAGGAAATTTCTAATCCTACATATCTGCAACTACAAGAAGTCAATAACTATAACTGTTCTCTTTCTTTTTAACGAATGCTCTGCTTAGAAAATTGTACTGCTGTAGAATAGGCGTTCTTGGATAAGGTCGTGTGGCCTAAATATTTTACATTTGAGCAACTATCTTAGCTGGCTTGACTAAGAATCTTCTAGACTTCTTAGTACTCATATTATAAAATGGACTAGGGATGTTGCCGAGCTCTAACTACCGGTAAATGGCCCTAGTTCCTTAGCCCATTAAATATAAGATTGTCAAAATTTCAAAATCCAAAATGTAAAATTAAATTAATATAATATTTTAGTCTGTACATATCAATACTTGCTCCAAATTCAATTCTTACAAAATCATATAGTTTCCCCTGTTCTTGCTCACATATCTATGTTACTGTCCTTGTTTTTATATCTAAACAAAATTTTAATTTTGAACATCTATCTAAACCAAAATTTAAAGCAAACTAAACATCCATTTTTAGTTCAGATGAAGTGCTAGCATTTTTTCTATTTTAAGTATAATCAACAATAAAATATGAATGAATTGTCTACTAAATCTGATTATGTCAATCAATAATAGAATTGTAGAGGGATGGTTATAAAAATTCGTTGGCTTATTTTTATTTTTACTTTAAAAAATTTTAAAAATCAAAATGTTCACTCCCCCCCTTCTCTCTTTTTGAGCCTCATGCTGGATGCACCTTGCAGGTGCTTCATGTCTATTATGATAAGAGACAACAGCGTCTTACTAGATTGCCGGGAGTTTCAAATGCCGAAGTAGAGGATAATCATTCAATTAAAAGCAAAGACATTTCAACTTCTCGGAAAAGAAAAAAATATTCAGAAAGAAAATCCTCAGAGTTTGTAAAAGCTAATATCGCAGATGGGCAGCCCAGTTCTGAGAGGACCACCGCTCCATTAGATTCGGATGACCTATTTACTGAGGCCCAAAACTCTATTTTAACTTCTGAAGAAGATTATGAATACCATTTGCAGAGATATCTCACTGGTGATAATATAGAGAGCAGAGAAGAGCCAGAATTCAATGAAGTAGATGAGGAAGCCCGCTCTTTTATTCACAAGTGTGCTTTGTCAAGGTTGAAACCTGGAAGTCGAAGAAAGTTCTCGTGGAACGAAGAGGCAGATAGGTAATAAAAAACAAAAAAAAAAATTCGTGAAATTGTCTAGAAAGATAACCTGTTAATAGCAGCAGCTCATCATTTAACAACTTCTCGTTGAGGTTGAAACCTTATGGATTTGCTAATAAACTGATTTGTTCTGAATACTTGATGAGAATGGCCTGATGATATCCTAGTTTTATGCTTAATTGCACCTTTTCAGATAGTTATTAAATTTATGCACTATATTTTGTGTTCATTTGATTTCTTATCTTCTGAAGATCTTCTGATACATCTGTCTCATAACAAAGTTTTCATATGGTTTCATTTACTTTTAGGCAATTGGTGATTGAATATGCAAGATACCGAGCTGCTCTTGGGGCAAAGTTTCACCGTGTAGATTGGGCATCAATTTCAGCTCTTCCAGCTTCTCCTGATTCCTGCAGACGAAGAATGGCAATATTGAACAGTTATATCCCTTTCAGAAAAGCTGTAATGAAGCTATGCAATATTCTTGCAGAACGGTATGCAAGATACCTTGAGCAAGTCCAGGGAAAAATGTTGAATCATGCTGATACTGAAATGAGGGACCAGGATTACGCAGTTGAAGAAGAAAATGTGTGCTCCTCATCATCTAAATTTGGAACATGTTGGGATAATTTTGATGACAATATTATCAAGCGAGCATTAGATGATGTTCTACTAAACAAACGATTGGCTAAATTGGAGGCCTCCAAGCATATGTGTTCAGATAAAGAAGACGGGGAAGGAAAAGTAAGTTGACATTCCCCTATTATCTTTATCTATGTTTCATAGGAATATAATATTTCCGTAATTTGTTACGTATGTCTATTTGATCATAATCTGTGTTAAGTGTCACGAGTTCAGACTTGTACTACCACTTTCCCCCCAACAACCAAGGAAAATATAAACACAGAAAGAGGGATAGAAATTTGAAATGTGAATTGTGTTTTCCAGTTAAATGTGTTATTAAGGCGAATAACAAGTGTCTGTTTTCTGCCAAAGCTATTCTGCTGTCCATCTCTGTTGCTGATGACATTTATAATCTATGGAGTGCTTTGTCATTTACTTCTTTTACTCTCCTGTGTACAGTATCCCCGTGGCACTGGAATCACTTCTTCAGCCCCTCATAGTCAGGAATTTGAGAATTGTGAAGAGAAGAGTAGAGCTTGTCCTCAAAGATCGAGCTCTCGACTGCTTCCTAAAAAGTATGTGAAACTTTTAAATGAAGGTGCAAGTGTTAGCAGGAGAGCACATGAATCTGTTGCTGTTGCAAATGCTGCTGAGCTATTTAAGCTAATCTTTCTAAGCACATCGTCAGCTCCTGAAGTTCCTACTCTGCTAGCTGAAACATTAAGACGTTATTCTGAGCATGATCTTTTTGCCGCTTTTAACTACCTAAGAGAAAAGAAAATTATGGTAAATTATATTTCCTGCAATATACATCATCATTTGATCACTGCAATATGGATAAAATGAATATATCTAGCACACTGCTGAATAAACAGTAATTGAAAAAAAATCATGACTATTCTTAACAGTAAAATACTTGGACAGGCCACATATGATGAAGATTTTTTGTTTCCATCAAAAAAGTACCGCCCCTCCTATTTACATAGGAACTTGGCTCCATGGGCAAATTTAAAGCTATATCTTGGAACGGCACTGAAATCTCAAACAATATTATCACAATGTAGGGCACAAGTATTTGATCTAATGTTAAATAATCACCATTAAAATATAATTATTAATCCATAAATACAGCAGAAATACAAATCCTTATATTATGAGATGTTTGTTTAAATGCCATTGAAAGACAAATATTTTAATCTCACTAGTTCTTTTTTTCCTTTTATTGGTATTTGGCATAATAAACTAACAAATTTTTTCTTCCTTTGGCAGATTGGTGGTAGCTATAATAGCCCATTTGTTCTTTCACAGCACTTTCTGCAAAGTATTTCTTTGTCTCCATTTCCCATGAACACTGGAAAGAGAGCTGCTAACTTTGCTTGCTGGCTCCAGGAAAGAGAAACTGATCTAATGGAAAAAGGGTTTGATCTTCCTGAGGATTTGCAGTGTGGTGAAATTTTTCATTTGTGCGCTTTAGTTTTTTCAGGAGAACTATCAATTACCCCTTGCTTACCCGAGGAAGGAGTAGGAGAGGCTGAAGATACCAGAACTTCTAAACGTAAACACGATAGTAGTGATATTTTTGGCGACGACACACCTAAGAAATCAAGAACATTGACTGGTGAGGGAGAGATTATCTCTCGCCGAGAAAAAGGTTTCCCTGGTATTAAGTTGCAGTTGCATTGTGCAACAATCTCAAGAATACATGTTATTGAAAGGTATAAAGATGAGGACTTTAATTTTGTCACACTTGGCAAAAGCACTCCAACTGATACTCTCAGTTTGGAGGTTGACCGTAACACATCACATTCTGATGTAGCCGATCATGCTAGAGAAATCCTAGATTCTGGGACAACAATCCTTCCTGCATATGATGTGAGTAAATCACCATGGGAAGCGATGACAAGCTATTCAGAATATCTGATATCTTTGCGTTCTTGTCAAGAAAAAAGATTTTCTCTTCATCCCGAGGTATTTAAAACTCTTTATTCAGCCATTCAAAAGTCTGGTGACCAAGGTTTGAGCATGAAGGAAATTTCGAAGGTCTTGAACATGCAGGGTATACAGTGGTTACTCTTTTTGAATTTTGCATATCTCCATTCTTGCTTTTTTAATGTGCAATTTCTTTCATATTGATAACACCAAGTTCCTTTTCAGGTAATATGTTAGAAATTATGGTTGAGGTGCTTGAAACATTTAGGCGAGCTATAAAGGTTTGTTTTATTGATTGACCTATAGTTATTGGTATCACATAGACGCTTTTCTTCATTTTTTGTCATTACAGGAGCAAGATACCGAGCTGCTCTTGGGGCAAAGTTTCACCGTGTAGATTGGGCATCAATTTCAGCTCTTCCAGCTTCTCCTGATTCCTGCAGACGAAGAATGGCAATATTGAACAGTTATATCCCTTTCAGAAAAGCTGTAATGAAGCTATGCAATATTCTTGCAGAACGGTATGCAAGATACCTTGAGCAAGTCCAGGGAAAAATGTTGAATCATGCTGATACTGAAATGAGGGACCAGGATTACGCAGTTGAAGAAGAAAATGTGTGCTCCTCATCATCTAAATTTGGAACATGTTGGGATAATTTTGATGACAATATTATCAAGCGAGCATTAGATGATGTTCTACTAAACAAACGATTGGCTAAATTGGAGGCCTCCAAGCATATGTGTTCAGATAAAGAAGACGGGGAAGGAAAAGTAAGTTGACATTCCCCTATTATCTTTATCTATGTTTCATAGGAATATAATATTTCCGTAATTTGTTACGTATGTCTATTTGATCATAATCTGTGTTAAGTGTCACGAGTTCAGACTTGTACTACCACTTTCCCCCCAACAACCAAGGAAAATATAAACACAGAAAGAGGGATAGAAATTTGAAATGTGAATTGTGTTTTCCAGTTAAATGTGTTATTAAGGTGAATAACAAGTGTCTGTTTTCTGCCAAAGCTATTCTGCTGTCCATCTCTGTTGCTGATGACATTTATAATCTATGGAGTGCTTTGTCATTTACTTCTTTTACTCTCTTGTGTACAGTATCCCCGTGGCACTGGAATCACTTCTTCAGCCCCTCATAGTCAGGAATTTGAGAATTGTGAAGAGAAGAGTAGAGCTTGTCCTCAAAGATCGAGCTCTCGACTGCTTCCTAAAAAGTATGTGAAACTTTTAAATGAAGGTGCAAGTGTTAGCAGAAGAGCACATGAATCTGTTGCTGTTGCAAATGCTGCTGAGCTATTTAAGCTAATCTTTCTAAGCACATCGTCAGCTCCTGAAGTTCCTACTCTGCTAGCTGAAACATTAAGACGTTATTCTGAGCATGATCTTTTTGCCGCTTTTAACTACCTAAGAGAAAAGAAAATTATGGTAAATTATATTTCCTGCAATATACATCATCATTTGATCACTGCAATATGGATAAAATGAATATATCTAGCACACTGCTGAATAAACAGTAATTGAAAAAAAATCATGACTATTCTTAACAGTAAAATACTTGGACAGGCCACATATGATGAAGATTTTTTGTTTCCATCAAAAAAGTACCGCCCCTCCTATTTACATAGGAACTTGTCTCCATGGGCAAATTTAAAGCTATATCTTGGAACGGCACTGAAATCTCAAACAATATTATCACAATGTAGGGCACAAGTATTTGATCTAATGTTAAATAATCACCATTAAAATATAATTATTAATCCATAAATACAGCAGAAATACAAATCCTTATATTATGAGATGTTTGTTTAAATGCCATTGAAAGACAAATATTTTAATCTCACTAGTTCTTTTTTTCCTTTTATTGGTATTTGGCATAATAAACTAACAAATTTTTTCTTCCTTTGGCAGATTGGTGGTAGCTATAATAGCCCATTTGTTCTTTCACAGCACTTTCTGCAAAGTATTTCTTTGTCTCCATTTCCCATGAACACTGGAAAGAGAGCTGCTAACTTTGCTTGCTGGCTCCAGGAAAGAGAAACTGATCTAATGGAAAAAGGGTTTGATCTTCCTGAGGATTTGCAGTGTGGTGAAATTTTTCATTTGTGCGCTTTAGTTTTTTCAGGAGAACTATCAATTACCCCTTGCTTACCCGAGGAAGGAGTAGGAGAGGCTGAAGATACCAGAACTTCTAAACGTAAACACGATAGTAGTGATATTTTTGGCGACGACACACCTAAGAAATCAAGAACATTGACTGGTGAGGGAGAGATTATCTCTCGCCGAGAAAAAGGTTTCCCTGGTATTAAGTTGCAGTTGCATTGTGCAACAATCTCAAGAATACATGTTATTGAAAGGTATAAAGATGAGGACTTTAATTTTGTCACACTTGGCAAAAGCACTCCAACTGATACTCTCAGTTTGGAGGTTGACCGTAACACATCACATTCTGATGTAGCCGATCATGCTAGAGAAATCCTAGATTCTGGGACAACAATCCTTCCTGCATATGATGTGAGTAAATCACCATGGGAAGCGATGACAAGCTATTCAGAATATCTGATATCTTTGCGTTCTTGTCAAGAAAAAAGATTTTCTCTTCATCCCGAGGTATTTAAAACTCTTTATTCAGCCATTCAAAAGTCTGGTGACCAAGGTTTGAGCATGAAGGAAATTTCGAAGGTCTTGAACATGCAGGGTATACAGTGGTTACTCTTTTTGAATTTTGCATATCTCCATTCTTGCTTTTTTAATGTGCAATTTCTTTCATATTGATAACACCAAGTTCCTTTTCAGGTAATATGTTAGAAATTATGGTTGAGGTGCTTGAAACATTTAGGCGAGCTATAAAGGTTTGTTTTATTGATTGACCTATAGTTATTGGTATCACATAGACGCTTTTCTTCATTTTTTGTCATTACAGGATATATGAATTAATGTTGGTAAAATCCTCCAGTTACCACTGGACAAAATTTTCTCTCTCTCTTAATTGGGGTGGGAGGTGAGGGGTGGAAGAGGGACTAATAAGCTGGTCCAGATTTATATGTGTGACTGCCTTGAATACAGGTGAATGCTTATGACGACATTCGCGTGGTTGATTCTCTATATCGGTCCAAGTACTTTTTGACCCCTGTAGCTGCTGTTCACCATGATCATGTACGGACTCCTCTTAGAGATCAGAAAAGGAAAATGGATGAGGAGCTTATGTCTATTGATTGCAATAACCATATAGATGATGTTGCCTGTAGAGACGAGATTAACATGATTGCCAATAAAGAGCATAGAGTCACAATTTTGAATCTACCTGAAGATGTTGCTGATCGTTCTACTGAAATTCAAAGCAAGGATAAGATTACAGGTTATGAGCATTCTGAAGTTATCCCTCCCAAAATGGATGGAGGAATTGAAATGTGCAGCCTCCATTCTGTTGATTCTCATATATATAGGCCAATACTGCCGTGGATGAATGGAGATGGTACTGTAAATGAACTTGTTTACAAGGGTCTTGTACGCCGTGTTCTTGGTATTGTGATGCAAAATCCAGGGATATTAGAGGTATTTATTTTGAGACAAGCTTTTGGTGTGATGCACTAACGTCTTGGCTGCAGAACCTTTCGATCTAAATTATGGGTTTATTTGTTTAGAAAATGTTACGTGATTTCAACTTGCTGTAATAAAACTGAGCTTGCACTGTGATAATTTTAGTGAACCATTTCTAGTTTATGGTGATGCACTACTTGTGGCTTGCAAATTCTTTTAGATGCTTTCTCCTGTGGTATTTTACTTCTTTTTGCATTTATCATGTGTTTAGCTTCTAGTGATGTTAGTCTTCAAATTTTTATTGGGAATAATGCTTCCTTTGTTGTTGTTGTTGTAAATAAGTATTGGTAAATAAACTTTCTGTATGCGGTAAAGCCTTATAAGTTTACTTGCTCCATCTTTGCAGTTAATCATCAGATTGGTCTATTAGTTGCGGTCAAATTATTCAACTCAACAAGCTTTCTTATAATCTGTTTTTATATAGAAAAGTTGTAATCTATTTCTCAATTTGACATGTCTTGTCTATTGTTCCAGGATGATATCATAAACAAGATGCGGGCTCTGAATCCTCAGGTATGTTATGAGCATTGTGTTGAGGAATGTATTAAAGATCTTCCTATTTGGGAACTTCATCTTTATATAGTTAAGATCGTGGTGTAATGACCCAAGCCTCGTGCCCATGCCGTTCTCTCTTTCATACTGTCCGCTTTGGTGATAGAAAGCCGTGAGGGTGAGGGATTAAAAGGTAGATGCCCTCCCAAAATGGACAGTACATAAGAGAATGGTTGAGCACGAGGCTCTGGTCGTTACGGACTGCTAGAGGGATCATCTAGGTGGGGTACTAATTTTCCACAAATAATGATAAACTCATAATTCTCTTATAACTTAATGAAGTATTAAGATAGCATGCAGCAAGAAAGTGAGCTAACAATTCCAAAATTAGTCATCATATATGTCAAGGTGCAAGTGTGTGGTTCATTCTGAAATGCTATAGTTCAAAATGCAGAAATCATTTTTTTGGAAAGCTTTTTCTTCAGCTGCTCAAGTTATATCTGAAAATGTTGAACAGGAACAGTACATTTTTTATTTTTATTTATTTATTTATTTTTTATTAACACTTGTTAGAGAGTATTAAAAGGTTGGTTTAAGTGCTCAAGCGAATCATCGTTAACTTGCATTATCTAATACCGTGATAATGAGAAGTACGTAACAACCTTGCAGATAGTGTAATGAGAAGAGTAATAATAAAACTCAATGTAGATGACGGCTAAGAAATAAGAGCAGATGGGGAAGAATGTTTAAGTGTTCAATTTATCATTTCGAGATGACCAGGGAAAGTAATGATAATTTGGGCATGGTTTTATTTACGACTTCTGCACATCAAATTAACCGTGAAGTGTTCAATTGCCTTGCATGATATAAACAGTACTAATTGTCAAAACTAAATGCCTTTCAGAGCTGCCGAAAATTGTTAGAGATAATGATTATGGACAATCACATAGCCACCCGCAAGATACCTCAGATGACGTCATCTCAACCTCCTGCCATTCTGAGCGACGTTCTCGGGTGTCGCTTTAAAAGCCCAAAGTTAATCTGCAGAGAGCATTTTTATGCAAATCCCATGAGCACAAGTCTGTTGTAAGAAAGATGTATGTATTTAGTCTTTTGGATTATGACCTGGGGATATCTTCGATAGGCTTTTCAACTTCAAGAAATGCGCTAAATTGTACAAATTCTTAATTTTCAAGTTTCTGGCAGAAGTTTGGTTTGGGACTAAATCCATAAATGGAGAAATCCCTAGGTTCCAATGGGTATGTATCATGTATGTAGTCTTATTGTAATGTGATCTGCATCTCCTTTTGGGGAAGCTTTGTAATGTTAAGAAAATTATGGTGACATTGGCATTGAGAGAGAGCTAAATTTATATAGCCATGGAGGAAGAATGTATGGTTGTGTAATTTCTGGTGGCAGTAGGCTCACGCTGCTCGGCTCATGCCGCCATGAGCCCATATGCCAAGCTGAGGTCGGCAAGTCAAGCCAGCAGCTTCACGAGACTTCCCATGGGCAATACTTCACGAGCCTATACATTAAGGATGTTGTAGGAGGTAAATTATTTGGGTAACCAGTTGAAGCTTAAGCTCTCGTTTGATTCCTATTATTCAATAATTCATTTTTTTTTGTAACATTTATTTTCAATCACATATTTTATCAATACAATAATTTGTACGTAAATTCAAAATTTTTTTCTTACCATTTAACTGTACATTCTCCAAACAATCACTATTACAAAATTCATTTTAACATAAAAACGAATAATCATTCAGTTGTTCTTGTGGCTTCATGAATCCATTAAAAATATAGGCAAGTAGTTTTGTTAGAATGATAATCTTAGAGAGAATTAATTTAAAATAATTCTTCCTTATAAGAGGAGAACTATTAAGAATAACACTATCTAGCAACAATGAGATTAAGGATATGAGACCAAATTTATTTTAATTAGATCTATCATGTATTAATGCCATCTAAACTAGTTTAGTAACATATGCACAATATTTCAATTTTTATTTTTATTTTTATTTTTTTAATTGTATTTCAACTTATATCTATTATTACTAGGGAGTTAATTTTACAAAAATTGTTACTGAAGTTTGTGTAAAATTTCAAATGGGTCCTTCAAAAATATGTATAACCTATTTAGCAACTAAAGTTATTTATTTTTTCAAAAAGGCCATTCGAACGTTCAACCTTATACGACGTTGGTTCAGTGCTAAGATGGCCCCTCTACTTACGCATCTCAAGTTTATTGAATTAAAATATGCACACCATTCTTTTCCACATGGCCGAAATTTCCATTTGTTGCCATTTTTATTCCAAACATCTTAGAGATAGATAGAGAAGTAGGAATTTCTCAAACGAATCGTACTGTTTGTGCAATGTGGTTGATTATGATCTCGATCTAGCGAATGACCCACTGGTGACCATTTCCCCCTCTTTATTTTGCGTTGACTTCTGTACGATGATGTTGCTGATTGACCAAGGTTAGGGACTTTAGAGCTAAGATAAGAGATGAATATGTAATTTTTTATTTTTGTTTTTATAGCATTTCAATTTTTTGGCCCACCAATTGCAATTAGTGATCATTATTTTATTTTGACATTTAAAGAGCTTCACGTAGTATTGAACATTACTTTTACGACCGAGCAAATAAATAACTTAAATTGCTAAATGGGTTAGAAAACTACTTTAAAGACCAACTTGGAATTTTCCGTAAACATCAGTGTCTATTTGTGAAATTAACTCGTTTAACAGCTGTCGCTCCATGAAGACCCACCCGTCCTACTACCCAACAGTATTTCCCCCTCCGGTTTTCTACAGTTTCTACTAAACCGTTGCATTGTCGTACTGAAAACCGCACCGAATTCCAGTGATACCTTCATGGATTCCTCTGTTTTTTGATAGATCAAATTCAATTAACTTACCCAAAAATTCAAAGAAATTCAGGGAGAATTGAAGCTCTCAAATTCATCCAAAAATGGCCGAGAATTCAACTCCATCATCATCATCTCCCCCAAAACCCTCCTTGCAGCCATCAACAAATCAGATGAACATGATAATTGAACCCTCGAATTCGCAACATTTACAGGGTTTGCCACCCTCCTCTTCCAGTCTTGCCATCACCTCCCCTTCTCTTGACCAGCAAAATCAACAACAAATGGCACAATCCCAGCCGCAGCAACAACAAATGGTACAACCCCAGCAGCAGTTGGTACAAACCCAGCCGCAACAGCAACAACAGTTGCAGCAACTTCAACAACAATTTCAGCAACAGCAGCAGAATAATAATGGCGGTGTTAATAATAGTAGTAGTAATAATAATTTAATTGGGGGGTCGACTTTTCAGATGCAGGGTTTACAGAGGACTGCTTCGACGTCAAGGCTGAATCAAATGCAACAGCAGCAACTTAATATGATGAGGCAACAGCAGCTGGGGAATTATGGGCAAATGAATTTTGGGGGCGGGAATGTTCTTCAGCAGCAGCAGCAGCAGCAACAGAATAGTAATATTAGTAATAACAGCAATCAGCAACAGCAACAGCAACAGCAACAGCAACAACAGCAGCAGAATCAGTTGCAGCAACAATTAGGGCAGATGACCAGCAATAATCTGTCGCGGACGGCATTAATGGGGCAAACGGGGCACCTGCCTATGTTATCTGGTCAACCTGCAGCGGCTGCTGCACAGTTTAATTTGCAGAGCCAGTTTTTAACTTCGGTGAGGAGTCTTGATAATGTCACAATCATCTTTGTAACTCTTACAGTGTGTTATGTGTTTTGTTGCTTTGGATTCATACGGTCAAGTGCAATTATGTGTTGCAATGTGAAAATTTCATTTGGATGTTGATTTCAATTTCATTACATGTTTACATCTTTTTATGTGTATAGATTTAAGATGAACAGAATATTGGGCAGAGAAGCCGGGTAATGCTGGTCCCTGTTGCCCAATTACATAAGTTTTATTTGTTAAAAAATATAATTTGCTTCATAGATTTTTCATTCATTTAAATTAGTTGTTATCAAGTTATTGTCTGTACAGAAGATTTAATATAAGCTTGTTGATTGAGGTGCTGATCAGTTGAGAACTGTTGATTTAGTTGCTTCACTGTATAAATACTGTTAAAATCTTTGATGGGATATTTTTATTTAGTGAGGATTTTTTAAAATTATACGAGTTTCTAAGACAAGTGCGATTATGGGTTCAGCCACGACAGAAGGCAGGATTGATGCAGGGTTCTCAGTTTCATCCTAGTATTTCTCCCGGGCAGTCTTTGCAGGCAATGGGAATGATGAGCCCCCTCAATTTAAATTCTCAATTTAGAGCAAGTGGGGCGATTGCTTATGCCCAGCAAAGGATTACCCCGGGGCAATTGAGGCAGCAATCATCACAGCAAAATGCACTAACCAGTAGTCAGGTACAATATTTACTGTTTTTGGTCTCATATGTTCTTCATATCCTCCTCCTGTCTGAGTGATACAGGCAAGTGCCCTGGCTATTGTTTTGTTGTTCGATTTATATCTGAGTCTATCTTCTGGTAACTTAATTTGTCTCTACTATAGCAAAACCTTGATGAAAATTCAAATGCCTCACTATGAAGAACTTGAGCTATAATTTCTAAGATTCATCTTCATGGAGGGATGCATGAATAATTTTAAGCTTTATTATAATTTTTAGCCTTTAAGTCATATTCAATTTTATCTGTTTTGATGGCAAGTATTGTGAACGTGGATGAAAACACTTCTGCATTATGTTAATACCCAGACTATCATGAAACATCTGGTATTCGTTATCTGTCTCTTTCACTTAACTTATTTTCTCGCACAATTTACTATATGCTTTGTGCTGCTTCTAGGAATATAAATTCATGTGTGAAAGCCATAAATCCAAACATTAATTTTGGCGTTCGTTCAGGTTATCATATAATCTTTTCCTTTTGCTGGTGTTACATTTCTCTAAGCATCAAGGCAACCTTGTACAATCATTTTTCTCCTTAGTAATGGTAAAGAATAGTTATTGGCAATTAGGATTTACACAGGTTTGCTTCCTCACTCATTGTAGTCACGTTTGGAGATCTTATTTAATAATTTCTGAAACATTGAAAGGAAAGAACATACTCAAGTATTTAATTTAAAGTAAAAATGGACCACACTAACATCTGTACCTTCTGTAACATACATGAGCTCCTCATGGCGTTGGTTGTTGAACTTTTAAGCCAATGGGATGTTTAAGAAAGGTGGGTTGTTTGAAGCAGATACTTTCATGTTAGAGAAGGAAGGAAACAATTGTTTAAGTTATTGCTATCAATATTCTAATCAAAGTTTGAGTGGAGCAATCAAAATCATCATTAGCACTAGCTTAGTGGAATATGTGGATTTAAAAGAAACACTTATAGGGGATCTTGATGATAATCTGGATGCATACGTTAGAACTTGTTTTCTGATCCACTTTTTCCACCTTGAGATCACCGTGAGGGATATGCTCAAGCTCTTAACGTTATTGTTTTATATATTTATTTTTATGTCATTTTGTTTCAATTTGAGGTGATGCCTTGATTTCATGTTCATGTCAAGTAATAACTTGAATGGACCAATGTTGATAGGTGAGTGACTTGGGTGATTAACAAGAAATGTGATAAAGTACCTCTTTAAGGTCTATGGTCGAAGACTCTAAGAATGCATGTATGAGGGGAAGAATATTTAAAAATGATATTTAAGCTGATAGTTGCATCAAGGGAGAAGACACTTTATTCAGATTTTGCTGAATGGATGTTGTTATACTATCGGTCGTTGATTCTTTATTGCTGGAAACTTTAAGATCCGAGACTTGCTTCATCATTAGTGGTGGGTATACCTGTAGTTTGGTTTAGAATGGTATTACTGCAAGCTTGAGTATCTCGTTAATGCTCAGCTTGTTTCAAAGGAAAATGGTGGGAAGAATTTATGAATTTCCTGGATTCCTACTCTTTAAATTGATATTTTTTCCCTTTTTATCTTGGTTTTTGGTAATGTCTCAATACTTTCTCTTGCCAAATTAGTCCTAAAAAGAGTTCTCCCATTTCCCATGGTTTCCCATGGTTTTGCAATTATTTTCCCTATCATTTTTTGGTAGTTCAACCAGACGAGTGAAAAGTCCAACGGATTACTGATCGTATAGTTTGCTTTCAATTTGGCCACTAAACTTTAATTTGTTCCAATTTAATCATCCAACTTTAAATTTTGTTTACTTTTATCATTGAACTTCAATTTGTTCCACATTATTCACCCAACTATAAACTTTGTTTCACGTTGGTCATTGTGTTAATCTCCTTGTAACTGAGAAATCACCTGCCTAGATTAGCGTCATTTCGAGTTTACAAAGGAGTTCTCTCCAATAATAAATTTATATATGATCGTTTGATGCATCAAATTTAACATTAATTTTAAAATGAAGACTAACGTTGTTGGCATGTAGATGGATTGAAAAATCTTTGGATGATTACACTATCATCATCAAAATTGAGATTTTTGCTAGTACTTATGCCATGGTTTACGAAAACCCAATTAAGGCCTGCCTCACAGTGTGGTGTACAAGAGACACTTCAAGGTGTTATGGAGGGGCTACGCCTTAGTTGTATGAGACACACTGATGGAGCGATATTTAATTTGGAAGACTTTTCAATTTAGTTACTCATTTCGTGAAACATAATTAAGATTTTATTCTATAGATTTTCTAGTATTTCGTGTTGTTTCATTAGTTGTTTTCCTATTTAAATTATGTTACTTGAAAACCCTATATAAAGAGGGCCTATGCATTTTAAACATCGACTTCCTTACTTACTGATTGATCTTCTAATTAGTCTTGATTTATTTATGTTGGAGCATAACTTTGTACTAAGTTGTAGCTCTATTAATTGTCCTAAGTCTAGAGGAATTTTAGATCCTATAGCTTAATGTCTTGGAAAATTAGAGTTACTGCATTAGAGGAAAGTGTGGGATTTAATCCACATTTTATGTTTGATATGTTTCTTTTAGGGTTCTATATATTCAACTCACTGGTTTTGCAAGCCATCACATAAAATTTGTGTATTTATCCCATTTAACATCACCACAAAGGGAGTCACAACAACAATTCATATTCTAACGTGAGCCAGCTCAAGGCTGGGTTGATCCAGCATTTTTATGAGGTAGAAAAAAGTGGAAATATGATTAAAAAAACTGCTAACATGATGTTTAAAAAATTATGTAAATTGAAGAGAGGGGGTGGGGGGTGGTGTTTGAGGTGAGGGCTGAGATTAGATATTTAACTCTAATTGCAAGACTAATGGGTAAAGGAGAAGGCATCTTCATTCTACTCGTTGAGGTCCCAAGGGAAATATTTTTCACACTTTTTTCTTTTTTTTTTTTTTTTTTTTTTTTTTTCAAACTGTGTTCAAAATAAATTGTAAAATAAAATGTGAGTGTTCCAAAATAAATATAGTCACGTTTCATATTTTCTATATAAACCATTACTTAGCATTTTTACCTCTGATATAAATATGCTACCTAGCTGAGCCTTTGATGCTTTCTTCGGTTCATATATTTCCAAAGCAGCATTTATTGTTATTGTTCTTAACCAAGTATTGAATTTGTTGGAATTTAATGTGTAATTAGTATAAGGTGTTGGTTTCTCTTTTATGCTATTCTACAATTTGTTTCTATTTTCCTGCATTAAATGATAGTTTTTCATTTTTTTTCCTTAGAAACTACAGCAGGTACAGAATTTAGCTAGGACATCGTTTATGAATCCTCAGTTATCCGGACTAGCTCAGAATGGACAACCAGCTATGATGCAGAACACCTTGCCCCAACAGCAGTGGTTAAAACAAGTGCCCGCTATGCCTTCTCCCAGTTCTCCTTCATATCGTCTTCAACAACAAAGGCAACAGCTAATGCAGCAGCAACTGGCTTCTTCTCAGATTCATCAGAATTCAATAGGATTGAATCCACAGCAGATGTCCCAAATGGTACAACAGCAACACCAAATGGGCCATTCCCAGATGAACCAGCAGCCACAACCGCTTTCGCATCAGCATCAGCAGCAGCCACAGCAACAGCAATTAATTTCACACCAGCAGCTCCAGTCTCCAAGAATGGTGGCTCCTGGAGGCCAGAAATCTGTAAGTTTGACAGGATCTCAGCCGGATGCTACTGCATCCGGAAATACTACTCCGGGAGGAAGTTCTAGCCAAGGGACTGAGGCCAGCAATCATCTCCTTGGGAAGAGAAAGATACAAGATTTAGTTTCACAGGTAGTTCTGCTATATTAATTCACATTTTCATTTATTTTTTATTTATTTATTTATATTTTTTTTCAAATTCACTAAATCGTATAAAATTTCATTACAAAATTCCAGATTTGGACTTTTGATTTTGCAGATCTAATTACAATAATCAGGATCAAATTAGAAATAAGGGGAACATTTATTATATCTTTTTTTTTTTTTTTTTTTTTTGGGGATGCCGTAAAGGGATTATTTTAGTTGTATTTTATTGTCATAGTTGGATCCACATGGAAAGCTGGACCCTGAAGTTGAAGATCTTCTTTTGGAGATGGCCGATGACTTCATTGACTCGGTAAGGCTCTCAAATGCCAGATTAACAATACTATAAGTAATAGTTGAAATATAGTCTCAGGCTATGGATAGTTGATTTATTGAGGTGTGAATTATTTTTTTCGTTTGTCGCTTAGCATTTTTGTTTTCGTTTCTCTTTTGTGGGTGTTGAAGTGGCGGTAACAGTTCAAAGTCAGCTGTTTCAAGTGGTTGTAGAGCTGGTACCGCCCAAAAGTGTGGTATCTGACATCATGCCATTGTACTCTAGAGTATTGATCCTGGGTATCCGTGGCTAGGAATGTGTTAGGAGTAGATTTTATTCATTCTGTTCGGAAATTAGTTGTGATGTAGGAACTGTCCAATATTGTGTAGTTTTTTCCTATATATCTATATGTTGAGATGGGTTTGGGGTGTGTGCATGTGTGGAGGTGAAGGAGCTGGTGATCTGCAAGCTTAAAACATTAATTATCTAAGTTCCTTTGACGATTTATCCTATCATATCTTGTCGTAGCTTACATCATTTGCTTGCACCCTGGCAAAGCATCGGAATTCTTCAACTCTGGAAGCCAAAGATGTACAGCTTCATCTAGGTTTGTGCTTCAGGGCTTCTTTATATAGCATCTTAACCTTGCAAATAGAAACAGAGCAATTCACCGCTGAAGTTTAGGATTCTGATCAATGTTATATAATCTGTTATCACTCTCGATCCTATTCTTTTGATATTACGCTTTGTTATTATATCAATACATAAAAGGACAATTTGAACTCTTACCTTTTTCATTTGGTCTGTTTCATTGGGCTAATGAAAGGAACTTTTGCAGAGAAAAACTGGAAATTGACCATTCCAGGGTACTCTAGCGAAGATGGCAAACAGGCCCCAGAGCATGTAAGCATTGTTCTCTATTCAAAAATTTTACTTAATGCAGCATGGACAAGGTGTTTGTTATAGCAATAAAATTAGGTCTTCCTATGTTCAACTCCTGCCAATCCATGAAGTATGTCACTCTTGGATAAGGTCTGGAAGCATCTACCCAATATTTTGCATTTTCATACGTTTATGAAGTATATTAAGATATTGCTTTTATATTCTATAACCCTTTCAACTTAATTTAGATGCCCATATTTGAAGTACTCTGTTACTTGGATATGATCAGGAAGCATTTACCCATTTTTTGGATTGGTAATACATTTATGAAGTATATCAAGAATATTAATTTTCTATAATGTAACTTAGTTTGATTCCCATTCTTAAACAGTTTAAAATATGTTTGAAGTCATTTTAAAGAAATAAATAAAAAGTTTAAACATTAGTTTTTTACTTTCCAGACTTGC